GCTGCCCTGCTGTCTGCCGTTCCTGCTGGGAGCTGCCCGCTCACTACCCGCCCGCTCGCCGCAGCCGCCGCTGCTAAAGCCGCAGTCCCAGAGTCCCGGAGCCATTCGCCGCAGCTGCCAAAGCCCCGGTCCCAAAGTCCCGGAGCCGCTTCTCTCTGGGGGGGGGGCGACCTGCGCTTGGAGTGCCCGCAGCCTCTTTGCTACCCAGCTCATCCTACCTGCACTGCCGTGGTGAGACAATTCCGGCTACCCCAGCTTATAGGGGAAAATATAATCCAGCCATTCGGGCAAATCCCTCCCCTCTGCTTCCCTCACGTGGATAAGATGTGTAACTAAGGTGTACCCATATATGTTTAATGTGTTGTAATCACTCCTTTTGAACCTCCTGCCCCAAATTGCTTTGTTTTCCCCACAATAAACCTTGCTGTTGTTAGAAATTTAGTAAGCACTGAGCGAGTTATTCACTCAAAAAAGTCGGGACATAAGTTCCTGTATCCCTCTGTGTAGGCGATACCCACGTATGGATCTCTCAGCAAATCCTGATAAGTTAATACACTCCAATAAGGAGATATAATAGGTCACGGATCGTGACACACACCCTCCTTAGATGCCCCACCACTGTGCAAAGAAACACTTTCACAGACCCATGGAGAAATGGAGACAAAGGGTTGAACTTGAAAGGAATTCTTGGAGCAAAATTCAATGAATGTGCCAGTTTTTGTGCTATTGGGAAAGGTGGGGTTTGGCTTCTGAAGCATCTGGCTATCACGGGTTGCAAGAATATCCTGGCATTATCATCTGGAACATGGTAAATGCTTCATGAGGTTCAGTGCATATTAAAAGTGCTGCTGCTAAGACTTTTGCAAAACCTTATGTGAGGCAGTGAAAAGTGATGTGTTGTAGTAAAGGTTTACCCAGTTCTAATCTGAGAGTCTTTCATGTGCTGGGTGAACGTTTCTGAGAAAGTGTGTCTTTCACGTGGAGAGCAGTAAATCAATTTCCTTGGTGTACTGAAAGGGTACTGAGGATCATACTGTCATCCCCAATCCTGGATGACAGATTACAATGTTTGGTTACCTAGTGTGGGTTTCCATCTACATCTCCTTTTGTGAGCAAGGAAGTATTTTAATAAGATACATCTTCAGAAGGATTTGGAAGGTACAGACTCTTCCTCTCACCTCCTCCCAGCATGGGAGGGTGTCTACTTTCTGCTACATGGAGTAGAGGAATCGCTGAGAGCAGTTATTGAGAAAAGAGTGTGCAAATCTGTTCAAGTCCAGTAAGGTAGGGAACTAGGCTGTTTATTTATCCCTATGTTGAAGCTTTCGTCATTGTAGTGTTTTGTTCGGCAGTTGGGGGGAGAGTGGAGGAGATGGCCTGCAGGATGTCTGAGGCCTACACAGCTTTTGTTGTAGGTGTGTGAATTTCCATCAAGAGAGTGACCTGTGAATCAACGCTGGGTGCTTCCCTGAAGTCAGTGCCATCCCTCCATCAGTCTTTGCCTGCACGAAGCAGGACTGCTGAAGCAAAGAGAGGCCTGACGCAGCCTG